CCTCCACCAGCAAAAAGATTACGACTCACTGAAGGCTCAGATGATGGTTAGCATTTTTTAGCAATAAAGTATTTTTTAATTAAGGTATGTACATTGTTTTTTTAGACATAATGCTATTGCACACTTAATAGACTACAGTATAGTGTAAACATAACTTTTATATGCAATGGGAAACCAAAAAATTCACGTGACTTGCTTTATTGCGGTGGTCTGGAACCGAACCCGCAATATCTCTGAGGTATGCCTGTACATAATTTTCTAAATACCTTTGTCTTACCAACTATTTTTGAACCAATACAGAACAAATTAACTAGTTTGCAGCATCACTTAATACAGCTTGCAAACTTCATATAAAATAATTTTGTAAATATCTGGACTTATAAGGGCCTCAACAACATGCCAAGTAACAGAATCAGATTTTGTTTCCCAAGCCAGCAATAGCTTTGGAAGCACTCTGTTGTAGATGCAACACTTTCAGCTTGTGAATAAGAAAAAAGTATCTGTCCTCCTTTCCAGCAATGTCTTCCAATAAATTTGATACCTGGTCATGGACTTGTAAGTTTAAGAGGTTTATAGTTCAATAATATAATAATCATTAAAGTAATTAGAAAATAGGACCATTATTCAAACAATGAAATTTTATTATAAATTATAACACCGTCTGTGCACCACACTTTTTCAAGACATTACTCCAATATCTAGATGGATAAGTTATACTAATAGCAACAGAATCATTTAGTGTATTCAGGAACTGGATTATTGCCAAGGGAAAAAAGAGAGACTATTATATTTATTGTAATGTAAATTTAGTAAACCTATATACTAATCCCTAACAGTCACAGACTACGGGGGGATATTGTCTATTCAGTTTGGTTCCTGGGGAGTCTGGGCAGATGAGGATATTAGGAAGTTCAGGAAGTTGATGACAGTTCATTGCGGATAAAATTAACAGTCTGCATTTTCAGTGATTGTCCAATACATTAGGGGAGAAATTTGCTCTTCCAAGGATTATTTTTCCACAGGAAAATGGGTCTATACATTTTTAACTCCCTTAGAGCAGTGGCTCTCAAACTTTTTAGACTCAAGATGCTACTTTCACTTTTTTGACTGTGGAAAAATAGTAGAGCAATTCTTCTGTTGCAAACAACTCAGAAAGACCACAACAGGTCAGAAAGCTTTTGACAGCATGGATTGCTATTTGAAATCTCTGCGTTTATCTTGTGAATCATATTTAGATGTCTGCACACCTAACAGCATTTATATGGAGCATGAGCCTGAATCACCTTTAATAGAATTTTATGATACCCTAGCTGAGAATCACTGTGTTAGCAGTGCATTGTACTACGAAAGCGTACCCTGTGCAGAGGTACCCAAGCAAGCTCTTGAATCAGCTTGTTCACATGCTGGAGTCAGTACAGGTCAGTCAGTTATAATGTTCTGGTAATTTTTTCTGTTGGTAGAGTATGCACTTGAGTGCAGAGACCTAATGTGCTGGATAGTTTCTCCTCCAGAATGCAGAACAATTGTTATTTACCCCACAGTAGTTTCATTACTAAGCCCTAGACCTGCATGCATCTCTCATGGGCATAACTTGATTCTGCACGGGGGTGTCAGTGGCCTCCCACTGACTGCTGAACAGCTCTTATGTTCCTCACAATGCAGAACCAGAACATGATGACTATCAGGCTTTACAGAGATTAAATTTTGTATGGGGGAGACATTTCCATTAAACAGGTACAAATAGAAATAACCAGCTGAACTTGAAAAAAAAGTTTCGAAAATAGAATTAAAGCATTTTAACTATTTTTTATTATACACCTAACAACTGAGCAGTGTTGCACTTGATCTTCCATTTCCTCTGATTCCTTGGAAACAAACAAACAAAACACCAAATATTTGTCTTGCCTATTAAATCCATATCCATAAAAGGTCAATATTTAGGTTTACTATATTTTGATTTGCTGTCCCATTTTCATGGTAACTCAGAAAGATAAACTTTTCAGGAGTTCTTTTCTGCCATTTACAATAATATGGGAAATAAATCATAGGACTAACATGATATAAAATAGGATATTTTAACATTAAAATTAGAGGTGTTCTTATACATGATGGACAGATAAGATTAATACTATACAAGGAAAAGTTGTCATATTTTGGAAATGTGAATTGCTGTAAATTCCCAGACAGCATCTATAATTTAAATAATCCAAAAAATTCTCACTGCTACATATTTCAGTACACCAACTCAGATGATAATTCGAAGTTGATAAAGGTGTTTTGAACTTGAGTTCAATGGCCTGCTTAGGTTATTAAATCCCTTTATACAAAATAGTGACATAGGTATAAGTCATCATTCAGCAGCATGTAACAACCCTGCTCAGTAGTCTGCCCAGATATTGGAAGCTGCAGGATTGGGACCAAAAATTTTGGGTTTCCTAAATAATTTTTGGGTTTCCCAAAAATTCCTGGTTTCTCAAACGATAGAACTGGATCATTCTTTCTTGTACAGCTGCAGTCCTGGCAGCATAAAGTTGCAATGTATGGTTACTCTACCTGCAGAAGTTGGTGGGAATCACAACAGCATATCCAACGCATGTTCCTCCCAAACAATTCCCCAGTTCGTGGAAAAGTCCATGAGCCATGGATTCCAGAGGTAAAACAATTAGAAACACACTCATGAAGATCCCATTGGTTGACTAAAAAGAAAATAGATATAGTTACACGCTCAGAGGCCCCAGTCACTGCTGCTGCAGCTGGTGAGTGCAGAGCATATAGAAGTATCAGTTGAACATAATGTTTTATAGCTATATTGACAACGTTAAAGCAATTTGGAAGCATACCAGTGCTTCAATTATTAAAATAAAATAAATTGTAAATACCTATATATTGGCATTTGATTTTGGTTTTTTATCATAGAAAAATCAGAGCGCCCCCTTCACTCACCAAGATGCGGGTTCAGCTGCAGCTGTGTTGTCCCCCATTCCCCCTCTCCGCCCACTGCTTTGTGGCACTGAGCAGCCCTGATATGCCAGTGCCCTGCCCCGCCCCACAATCTGAACTCACAGGCCCCCAGCCCTGCTAGTGCCCCACAGCCCCCTAACACCTCCCACCTCTGAGTCCTACCAGAAGACAACCCCAGTTGCCAGGGCTATGGGACACAATGGCAGCTGCAGCCAGAATGGAGCGTGAAGCCCCACCACTTGCCCTGCCAGTAAGATGGCCAGAGGGAACCGAGTGGAGCCTGTGGGGGAAAGGGGAGGATGTGGGCTGCCTGCTGGGTGGTTGGGCCTCCCTGCCCTGCTGCCCCTACCCTTTCCCCAGGGGCCTCCATGGGCAAGTGTGCGGGACCCAGTACAGGAGTGTGGAGTGGGGCAGAGAGGCTTGGTGCTGCTGCTACTGGCACCGGAATCACTGCCCCAGCCATACTGTCATGACAAGGTGCCCTCTGTACACCTGGCAGCAGCAGGGGCAGGGCCATGGAGTTTTTCCCCCCCTGCTGCTAATGGGTGAGCAGGGGGCATCTCACCTTGGTGGCAGCAGCACTGAGCCTGCCCTGCTGTGCACAGTCTCACTGGCTGGGCCATGACAGTCCCCTGGGGGAGGGCAGCAAGCAGGGAGCCCCGAGCCCTACAGCATGCAGCCCCCATCCTCCCCAACTCTGTGCACAAATCTGGGTGGGACATGAGCCCCCCCCCAATGCTTCCCTTCCCAGGAGTGTATCCAGTGGTGTAGAGCCAGCCCCCAGATGAGCTGTCCATGACTCTGTCCGGCTCCCCCAGCCAGGCCCCATAACTGTGCATTTTTGCCCCAGCTGGGCAGTGCCCCTAGTCCTAGCCACCAACCCTGCCCCGCTCCCTTCCTCACCATGGCTGCCTCAATCTGCACCCCACACATATTACCTATGACTGCCCCCTACTCTGTACTAGTCACCTATGCCCCCCCCCCTCCAGACTTAACTGCAGGCAGCTGGGGGAACTGCTCTCTATTGCTGCCTGGCTGTATTGCTGGCCACGTGCATGTGTGTGCATGCACACATGCATGTGGTGCCCCCTGTGTCCTGCTCCTCCCAGCCCTAAGCAGCCCCTTGCAAGCAGGAACTCTGCCAGCCTGCAAGAGGAAATGCATGGTTTTGCATGTTTTTCTCCTATGAAGGAGAAAATCTGCATTTTTCTGCAGCAGATGGAAAACCCAGATGCCTGATAAGAGACTATAAATATCACAATGTTGCAAACTAAATAACGGATGTTATTTTAGTACATCTAAATTGTGGGAATTTGAAAGAACATAAAATACTTAATTAGCTTAATAGTTACAGTAAAAATCATAGGAATATGTTCTATTAAGATAACAGTTAATATGCCAGTTGGAGAAGCACTGCATAACTAAATCCAAAAGACTTGATGACTGTGACTTTTAATAAAACAGATGGCAAGCACAAATAGGTGGATCCAGAAAGGGTTTATGTTTTCTCAAGTGCTCTAGCCATTTCCCCTATGTTTTCAGTTGGTTGGGCAAATAAAACCCCACAGCCTGGTCCTGCAGTACATCTGGAACCTTCAAGTGCTCATTTTTTGGCGTATCCTCTCAGGAATCAAACAAACAGGAGAAGAACCAGCTGTGGCTTATCAGTGGCCATTCTTTCTCAACATAGTAGGGTTCAGAGTGAAAACCAAGGTGAAAGAATTGGTACTGAGAGCCTTCCTGTTTGCAGATTACACGGCCCTGGTTGTCCACAGTGAATCTTCCCTGCAAAATCTCTTGGGCAGATTTTCTGAGTCACGTAAGAGCTGTATGATGGCAACTAGTCTCAAGAAGACTATGATCGTGTACCAAAGGGGTGGAAGAACCAGTATTTGACATCACTATGGAAAATAAATCTCTTAGTGTTATTGATGGTTCATGGTACTTGGGTCCTATGATCAGCAGGAATCTTGACCTTCAAATCAAACTAACAGAATCAGAAAAGCCGCTAAGAATTTCAGGCTGTTACAGAAACATGCATGGAATAACAGCAAGCTATCAGCCAAGGTGAAGATACAAATCTACGAGACTTGCGTGCTGTTATCCCTGCTTTATGGTTCAGAAATGTTGACTATATATGCTAGGCACATAAAGAGACTGAACAGCTTCCACATGAGATGTCTGCATAAGATCCTGAAAATAAAGTGGGAAGACAGAATACCAAACACAGAGGCACTGGAGCACAGAGGACTGATACACTTAGAAACCACTATCAAGAGGAAAAGGTTGCAATGGATCGCCCATGTCAGGAGAAAGGGAGGAGACTGTATCTTCAAGAAAATTTTGCATAGCAAGATTCGAGATGGCTCTAGAAAGCAGGGTTGCCCTTTATGGCAGTACCATAATGTGTGCAACAATAATATGAAGTCATTCAATGTCAATGTAGAACTAGGAGGGGTACACAGAATCCTGCCTGATGTGGAGGGAACATCTGGCACTGGGTGCAACTCAACATGAAGTGGCTTTGATCCAGAGCATGGAAGCAAAGCAAGAAAGAAGAAAGAAGCACGCTGTAAACTTGGACTCCAACTCAGACAACATATGGATCTGTGAAACTTTTAACAAGCTGTGTTGCTCTTGAATTGGGCTTGTCAGCCACAAATGGATTAATCAGGCATCTCACTAGACCTCTTACATGTACACCATGATCCAGAGGATCAACAGTTGCCTTCTCTCTTTCTCTGTTTTTGACCTTTACAGTCTCTTTTAGGAGATGCATATTTTATGCCTTCTCATTTCAAGGGAATGTGGCAAATGGGTAAACTCACCACTTGCCCTTGGCCTGAATTACGCTTGATATAATAAACAATAAAACATTGGTTAGATTTTGTAATAATGTGTTTTCTTTCTTCACATCATTGTAGAACTTTTCAAGTACCACTGCTAAAGTTAAATTATTTCTTAATACAGCACTTCAGAGACAGTATTATATGCAAGGTTGATATTTATGAATAAGGCATGTTTAGTTCTAGGCAGCAATTACTGTAAGTGCCACAGAAGTAACTCTAGAAAAGTATTTGATAATGGAGCATTAGCAGAAGGTTGATAAAAGGAGAAAAAGGAAGAAAATAATGATAAAGCTATGCTGATGAATACAAGTTAAATGGGAAGTATGTCTCCAAAGCAATTGAAAAAAATTACAATTTGAGAAAAGCACACCCAGATTAAAAATAAGAACACCGTAACAGAACATTGACAATGCAGGTGATTTAGAAAGATGCAGAAGCCAAATTCTACCCTTGTCTACTCTTAGACAACCCTAAAAACAATTTTTGGCTCCAACAGCTGCAAAAAATGTTGTTTGGCACAATCTTAATGTAAATTAGCAGAAACAATAAAATACCAAAGCAAAAGAAAAACTGCTATGGACTCTTCAAACAGGAAGAAGGTTAAGGATCAAAAAGATTTTTGTGAAGACAGGATGAGACAAGATGCTATATTTACTCACATACTACATGCACCATTCCCAAAAAATGTAGCTTTCCATAACAGGAGTCTGTGTCTTTAGTGGAGAAGCCAATTTTCTGCCCAAAATAGAAGGATGGAGATGCTGTAAGATGGCTGCTGCTGCCTTTCCTTCTCTTCCCTGCAATAGCTGCACAGAGGAAGAGCACAGTCCAGCAGGGACTGATTCCTGCTTCCCCTAAACTTTAAAACCAACTGCCCAGCAACAGCAGTGGCATTTCTGTTCAGGCAGTATGGATGTAGTTGATTGACTTCATGGTTCATTATAATATACCTGATTCTTGTTAACTGATCTTCACATCACAAAATGACCCTCTTTGCTCTGAAATCTCTTCATGTCCATGAATAAGCCATCTCTTGTTTGGCAGTGTCGCTGTTTGTTAGTTACTCCTAGTCTCTCTCTTTGTCTTTCAGAGCCCTGCAGACTGTTTTTAGCTCTTTTCAAAATCCTAGATCTGCCCCTGGAGTCCAGTCTTCAGCAGCCACTACATTATCTTAACAGGCAAGAGCTGCTGACAAGTTAGCTGTGAAAGGGTTAAAACTAGCTTTTGCTTAAGTAGGAAAAGGAGGGTGAGCAAGCTGAAGGTTAGGGTCTGTCCCTGCTCTATGCAAACATATATCTGAAAAAAAATTATTTTCTTCACTTTGCCTTCCCCAAAACGAGGTGCATCTTACTTTGGGATGCGTGATATGTGAGAAAATATAGTAATCTACAAATACCTGATGGATGTCATGTTCCAATCCAAGGAGGGAGTGGGATACTGTAGTATGAGGTACTAAGCTGAAATAAGTAAATTCAGAAAGATACACTCAAGGTTGAATATATGGAGAACATCTTTATAATGAAAACATTTGACCAAGGAATAATCCCCCAAGACCACTGGAAATTTCATAACTTAGGGCTTTCAATACTACATTACGCAAGGACTGTAAAGCTTACTGTGAAAAACCCCATCCCTGCACTGGCAAAAAGATGGACTGGATAAACCAGTGGGTATTTCCTATATCTAACTGTTTTTAATCACATGGCAACTGTAATGGGCCTTTGTGCCTCAGAAACAACAAAAAAGGAAATGGTTATCTTGATGCAAAGACAGGACTAAAACACTAGGTTTTGACTACATATAAAGAAATACTGCACTATGAATGGGCCTGTGTTATCACAAAATATTTACACTATAAATTTACATGACTTTTAATGTAGCAATCA